ACAACTAAAACATAATAATTTAGCAGTCATGTGCATACATACAACCACTAACTTACGTTAAACTTGTAGGTACGATCGAAGGAATAGGTACAAGGAGAAGAATTGGGCCGTGACGCACGCCACGTTCATCCACGACTAGGACAGTCGGCAAAGGGTCCTGATCGCCGAGATACCACCGCACGACCAACGCAACTTTGACCGCTACCTCCAATGGTTGCATAGGAGTACCCGCACACATATGCAGGCCCCCTACACTAACAAGCCAATTGATGAGGACAAAGATGAGGATGACATCGCTGATGCGTACGATGAGGCGACAAGGATGGAGACACAGCTTCAGAGAGCCCCGCTACAGAGATACGTGGTAAGAAATTTGAATTTCAATACAACTGCACGTCGGCGTTCCTATGAATTATAGTGATACGAACTTAGCTCGCTTGTGTATGCAGGCATCATAGTTGATAAGTCTGTCCAACGAAGCAGCCATGCGACTTCACGAGACCAGAGGGGAGCCGCACGGCATTCTACACGTCTTCGTCGATGTACATTCTATTCTCAAAGCCATGACAGTGGTTAAATGGTTCCCATGACTCATTCATCCGTGTTTTCTTTTTTGCAGAAAGTGAGAGAGAAGCTGCAAGAAGCTGGCATAGAAGCCCAGCTGTGTGGATACTCTGTGGGAGATGCCCTATGACCTGGACCTATCTAGTTCCTTATGCTCAAGCACTATGCCGACACGAGCAGGTTCCTCCGACACGACGGCTGGTGGGACCTCTCATGTTCATACTCCCGGCAATGCAGGCAAGGGTCCTACGGAGCACGACTTTGAGGAGGACAAGGATGAGGAGAAGGACTACGATGAGATTGGGATGTCTCAACTTGGTGATGCACCATTTCCTACACAGTTCGACGAACATGTACTTGAAACAACCATTTGCCATATATGTCACAATTACTTGAACATCGTAAGTAATGATGCCTATATTGTAATTGCAGGGTCCTAGTTACACTCAGCAGTACCGTCGGGTGTACCGCCAGTGAGACCGTACCGACGTTGGGTTCACCCCTAACGTGCTGCCTTCACGTCCGAAGAGGCAGCGACGTCCGCGGTACCCATATACTCCTAGGTTGTAGGAGTTCTTTAGGATGACATGATGCACTTGTACTCGGACACACATATACTGATGGAACATGTAGTATGTCGAGTAATGTCGAACTTATGTATTGATGAACTTGTGTCGTAGTTATGACTTGTTGAACTTATGTCGAACAGAGGTATTGTCGAACTTGCGATGAACTTGGGACGTGTACAAGTTAGTATTGCTGAACTTGTGTATTGATTGTCTCGTGCACTTAACCTTCCTGCTGACCTATTCGTTAAACCGACACGACGAAATAACTTGGCTCGTGTGAGAACATAACAGAAGTGCCTTGTTCCATTTGTTGCCGCTTTGACCGCCGCGCCATGGCTAGGGGCGCGTCAGCCTTGCCGCGCCATGGCGGCTGGCGCATCAGCCTTGCCGCACCATGGCAGCTGGCGCGTTAGCCTAGCCGCGTCGTGGACGGTGGCGCGGCAAACTCATGCTGGGCGCTGGCTAGACTCCCTTCTGAGCGCATTAGCAGCAGCAAGATTTTAATGCATATAATTTAGGGGGTATTGAAAGATCGCAATGGTGAGAACGGTCTTCTAGATAATGTTTGGACAAGATGGGCACCAAACTAAGACCCAAAAGTAATACCCGAATGTGTGACAATGACAAAAGCGAAAGCATTATATACCGAGAACGTAACAAATACATGCAAATTGCAGCATTGTAATACTATTTTTTGTGGCGAAAGTTTTATGATAACACAATATCCGTTACAAAAATTAAACAGTGTTTGTTACATGGGTACAATACATAAATAGTTTAAATGAAACACAATACAACACTGAGAAAGTACTACTACAATACAAATATCAAATCTAAAGCATTGAGCTAGCACACCTGTACCAATCCTCTATCACACCTATACCAATCCTTAGTCTGAAATATACTGAGTAAGCAACTCGTCGTCCGAGTACCAGTCCTCTACCACAACCTCGTTGATGTGGCTAGGCTCACCTGCATTGTCCGGATCTGTCTGTCGCCTGTAGTAAGCTGCCTCCGCTTCACCTACGGCCTCTGCAGCCTGAGTAAAAAATGCATCCTCCTCCGTCTGGCTCATGTGGCTAGGCTCACCTGCATTGCCTTGATCTGTCTGTCGCCTATAGTAAGCAGTCTCTGCTTCATCTGTGGCCTCTACGGCCTGAGTGAAGAACGCGTCGCCATCCTCCTCCACCTGCAAGCCAGCCTATGCTAGAGTGATGAGCTCGTTCAGTCTACCAGTGTCATCCTTAGCCTTCTTTGCCTGTAAGCCCGCCTCAGCAAGAGCGATGAGATCGCTCAACTGGGCAGTGTCGTCCTCATCCTCGTCCCCATCATCGATCAACACAATCGGAGATTGGACGGTGTGACCAGCTCGCGTTCTATGCTCATCTAACTTCTTTTCCTCATACCTTGCATGGGCCACCTCTGTGGCATGGTCCTCGCTGCATCCAATCCCTTCATGTATAAAATGCAACCAGTTAGCAACACGATTATATTACATTTAAAATTAGGCAACAAAAATAAAAAGGCTTTCAAGCACTCACTGGCACACAATACAACAACATGGTCATTCAAGACCTGCATCTGTACTCTTGTCTCTTCCCTTGCCTCCTTCCTTGCCCTCTCCTCCTCTAATGCCCTCCATCTCTCCAATCCCCATATGTCAAGCCCAACATCGATTGGGTTACAAATACCGCGCTGTCTAGCAAACTAACGCATCTTGTTTTTATGATGTTTAACAAATAGGTTGACGTAGTCAGGTCCATATCCCCTCTTCTGTACAATTACTTGCCTCCCCTTCAGTTCATCCAAGAACTTAGCTTGACTATCATAACATTTCCACCTGCATTTCCTAGTACTCTGTTCAAACAAAAAATTATATCATATATGTCTTAGCAAAAGAAACAAAATACGATTTTATGTTTACCACAAAAATAACCAACCTCATCATAGTCAACCATATGGCCGTAATAATATCCTATTCTAAGCTCCGAAGGGACTAAACCGTAGTTGGATTTAACACCACTCACACTTGACTGGAGGTACTTTGTATATTAACATTTCTTTCTTCTTTTTCTTTGCCTTTGGTGGCTCCGGCCATTGATTATTATGACCGTAGAGCCACTCATTGAAACGACACTTTGCAAATCCATAACGCTATAAGAGAATACATTAGTACACGCACACATATAGAGATAAATATTTAAACAGATACACTTTCCACTTACTTCGTGTTTGTTCGGACACACAAACTCCAACGTATTCTTAGGGTTTATCACAGTTCGATCTCCGTATTTGCATAGAGGAGGTTCCTCGAGTCATCTAACTGCGGCTCGGTGCTTCTCCTTAGCCATCATTGACGAGGGGTTAGGGGGGTGGAACCCACCGCTGAAAGTGCTCACGTGGATGTCTCTCTCTACATCGATCATCGAAAAGGAGGTACCTAGGGTCAAACTTGTCTGCACCGTCGATCCACTAAAAAAACACCTCTCATGGTCCTACACAGCAAGATTCCAACAAAATATTAGTAGCTTACTTACACAAATGAAGAAAAAAAGATAGTGGAAACAATTACTTACATTCAAACGACTGTATGTGTAGAAGCAACGCGCCGCTGTGTCTAGATATCTCGATTGAAACACGTCGGCCGGGAAACCACAGTCACAGTTAGGGACAGGAAGGTCAGGAGGGATGGGGGCATCTTTGCTAGACGCGTCAGGGTATAATTCTCGAGGACGACCCCGTTTTCGCTAAAACTCCTCCCGATACATTTCTTGCATCTAACAAAACGGTTGTAATTTAACAAACAAAAATCAAAACATCACAAATTAATGTCAATGAGAACCATTTGCATTACAACAAATAAAATATAACCTACACTTTGGTGCAAACTCTATCTTAGATGCAAACATGAAAACTATATAAAAACTATACTTTGGTCAGTAAAAAAATAAAATTTGGTATATCAGGATTCATATATTTATTCACATATAAAAGTTGATATGCAAACTCAAACAAGCAAAATTCTTATAAAAATTGATCTTAGAATACATGGTAATCATAATTCTAACTATTCGATTAACTTTAACATTGGCAATCTTAATCCTTCGATCCAACGTTCTAACGAACTCATATTTTCCTCCATACCCTAACTACTCATTTAAATCCTTCGATCCACCGTTGAGGCCGAGGAGGAGCTTCGTTACCTTGACAAGGCCGAGGAGGAGCTTCGGGGAAGGTAGGGAGGGGGCCGGCAAGGGAGGGTGCGACCAGCGGCTGCCGACGGCGGGCGTGAGCGAAGGGCGCGTGAAAGGGAAAGAAAGGAATAGAGAGAGAGAGAGAGAGAGAGCCGTATCGCGGGCCTTAACTGGGGCCTGCCGCGCCGTGGGCGATGGCGCGGCTCTGCCACGCCGTGATCTGTGGCGCGGCAGAGTGGGCCACATCACCGGTCGCTGTCATGGTGGCAGCCTGGCCTCGCCGCCATGCATGGCGCGGTAGAGTGGTTTGGCCGCGCCATGTCAGTTGCCGCGTCCAAAAGTGTTAGTTTTGAAGAAGAAGAAAAACAGTGTCAGTTTTAAAAATAATTTTAAAAAAATGTTAGAAATAAAAAAAAACCACTTGAATCCAATTATGATATTTTATCTGTTGACGATTGCCTCTCTGCAAGTCGTGTGTGGCAATATCTATTCTGTGAAACCAAGAATATCTGTAATCAACCTAGAGAAGCCAAAAAATTCAGATGATTGGTGGCAGTGGCTATTATTCCTTTGCAATTAGTTGTGCCTTGTAGCTAGATCTAGATTGGTCCAACCAGAATATTCTAATGCTCTTGTATTGCTCTTTCTGAATTTCCCTTGGTCAGCTAAGGTCATGGCAGAGACGATAGATCTATCAGGGGATGGAGGTGTTCTTAAGACAGTAGTCCGGAAAGCAAAAGACGATGCTATAGCGCCATCTGAGAGCCTGCCCTTAGTTGATGGTATGGTACTACTGTATATATCTTGTGTTTTGAGCAAGCGTTGCATAAGCAAATCTTTTATTTCTTCTGTTTGATTGGACAATAGACAGTAACTGAGTTTTTATATGCTCTCCTCTTTGTTAAGTGTTAACTCGTTCTAGTACTTGATTCACCTTCTCTGTCCCCAGCTAACTGCTGCATGCATACAAATATGAAGTGAACACCTGCTGTTGCGTATTGCCACGATTGACGGTAAAATAATTTCAAGATTTCAGATACTTGTCCCGAATAAAGTCATACAAATATGAACATTTATCTTTTTACCTTGTCTATAGTTCATTATGAAGGTACACTTGCTGAGACTGGTGAAGTTTTTTATACCACCCATGATGACAACTCTATTTTCTCATTTGAAGTTGGACAAGGGGCTGTCATCAAGGCATGGGATATAGCCTTAAGAACTATGAAGGTTTGTAAATGTTTGAGTTTCTGGTATGGTCTTCACCATCTCTGTGTAACATGGTTGGGCATATCCAAAAATTGAAGGTTTGCGAGGTTGCAAAAATTACATGCAAGTCAGAATATGCATATGGAGCTGCAGGCTCACCACCAGAGATACCTCCTAAGTGAGTTCCTCTATCACACTATCTTCGAATTGGTAACTTGAGTTTCCCCAATTTAATAATGTTGGTAACTGTTGGTTCTTTGTCTATGTAGTGCAACACTTATTTTTTAGGTGGAGCTAGTAGCTTGTAGGCCGAGGAAAGGTTCAAGTGTGGGCAGTGTATCTGATGAGAAAACCAGACTTGAGTAAGACATTTCCTAATGTTCCATCCTTAACATTTAGCACAGAAAAATTCAGTTATTATACGATTTAGCACAACAGCACATGTGTCCTCGAGTGAGCTCTTGGTGACAATGTAATATTAAGAGATAGAAATCAAAATGTTGTATCCACCTTGCAATCAAATATAGTTTGTTCATTTGATCAGAGTTCAAGAAGTATGTAATGATCATAAAGTAATTAGATACATAAATCTGGGCAGGGAACTTAAGAAGCAACGAGAGCTAGCTGCTGCTACCAAAGAAGAAGAGAAAAAGAAGAGGGAGGAAGCAAAAGCTGCTGCAGCAGCCCGGGTACAAGCAAAGCTTGATGCGAAGAAGGGGAAGGGAAAATAGATTACGACGTTGCTGCTGACTATTGTAACCTAGAAAATAATTATGTGGGAGCATCCTGAAACTGCTTCGTCACTTGCTGGCAACTGTGCATGATGTTGTACCCTTTGCCCCTGTCTGGCATGTACTGATGTATCGAAAAGAGCTGAGTATAAATAATATTTGGTATCTATGTAGATCACGAATCTTATCGTATGCATTACAGATTGGCGTGGCTGCTGATATGGGATAGCATGTCTGATTTGGGATGACATGTTGGTCAGTTCGTGTTCGATAGACTAGCTGCATGTTTTGTACATAAATGTCAATTATTGGAACCGCAGAGTGTGTTTAAATAGTCCACATAGTAAATATTGGAACTGCGTAGTGTTAAAATAGTCTACATAGCTAGCCTTTCAGGGACCAGGATTCCCTATTTTCATTTACAAGGCAAATATGCACATTTACAAGGCAAATATGTACGTATGTCCAGACAGCATCCCCAGGGGTTAGGATTTACACGGAAACTCGTGTGTCAGGCAGCCCTCAATCAACAAGCTCTCCGGACGCGGACGGGGCAGAACGCGCCAATGTGTAGTGCTATATATAGCTCAAGCATGTAAAAGTACATCAGATGTCACATTTCATTATAAACAAATGTACACAAATAATCTGGGAAAATTAGTTTTCATGACCTTTGGCTACATTACATGGCCTCTCAAACACATGAACTAACTTTACAACAGAATTGCAGTGCTTTTTTTTTTTGGGGGGGTAAGAACAGCCTACTCCAGACTACAAGCGAGGCAGATTGAATTTTATCAAGTATGTGAAGAATGAAATAAAAAACATGGTTAAGAGTTCATGTCTCGACTCAGGATAGACACCTGGCGAGAGGCTGTGGTAGTCATCATCTACTGCATCTTGCAGAGTTACAAGACCCTGACCTGCCCCCAATTCAGAATCGTTCAGACCAAGCACGTTCTAGCAGCTTAATGAAAAATCCTTTCACAAATTAGCAACTACCTGTTGTGACTGTGCTGCTATCTTTTGTAATCACATTGGTCTAGATATCGGAATATCATAGGATGTACGGTACCGGAGGCCATTTCCAACAGTATTCAATACAGGGCAGAGCCAGCAAAATATGTTAGGCCCCAGAACCTGCGAACAACCAGGAAGCAGTGGAACATTAATAGAAAGTGATGCCAACCGTGGGTAAGATGAAAGCAACTAAGGTAGTATACCATAAATGTTTTACTCCATGTTCTTTTTTGTTTGATGTTTTGGGTGCTGCAAAGTGATCATTTTTATTTGATGTTATAATATTTGAAGAAGAGTTATGCATATGCTCATCATTCAATTTAATATTTACAACACTTTAAGAGTCCAAACCTCTTCCTTCATCAGTCACAAGTGGTGGTTTAGGGAACAGACAAGTTTAACGATGTGCCATGATCCTTATATTATTTGATACGAGGTTAATTCATTCCTTCTTGCTTAAATCCGGATGGGTAGGGGATGAGCGCTACACTATAGATGAAATTAGCTCCTGACAAGAGTTTCTAAGCATTCTAACAAAAATAAACAATGCAACTAACGCATATCAACTAAAGATAACATGCAAACTAACTCATCCAGACCTATGCACTGTAGCATACCAGCACGGTTAATGGGGGCATAATATGCAATCCAGCGCATAACAGGTTGCATGAGCCATAATTGTATTAAGGGCATATGGTCTCAATTTGTTTATCCACTTAATAAGCATGCACAAATCTAAATATCAAATGAAAAAGAAAAATGAAGTATGAAATACTTGACTATTAAAATGAATGCTTGCAGCATAACATATCAAATATTGATAAAATCATTTTTCATGTTATGTCTCCATCTTGTTTCTTTCTCCTGAACAGATTGGGTTGAACATCCAAGTTATGACTAGCAAAAGGTCAATCCCAATTTGTTGACGTCTTTAGACAGATGATAGGAAGATTGTCAATTGTCATTAACCTTATTTCTTAGTAAAATACTGGGCTATTCTCATTTTGCACTTAAAATTGAATATGTGCAACATTCATAGAACCACAGAATAGCAGTGTAAATAGTTCTTACTGAAATAAGATTCTCATAGACACCAAGGTCATATGGATGATGATAGATATCTCCACCTTTTTCTGCCAACCACATTGCTCGAACTCCTTCATGGTACTGCAAGCCATTAATAACAATCTTGTCAAAACTTCTATAAACAAGAGTACTGTCCGATATAAAGAGAAAAATCTTAAGTCACAAACCTCAATTGTAGTTTTATTCTGTAATATGAGGTAAATATGCCAACCCAAGAGCACTGCCAATGCTAACGCTAATGGAGAAAGAATGACCCCACAGATAATCTGCCAATTTGATAAGTTCTTCAAAATTATTATTCAAAGGGAATTCCTGGCGATCGTTCAGATTAACATACAACAAGCTAGCAGCTTCTGTAGACATTCCCAGAGTACTCACAATGGATGTTCGAGAAGAATCGCTGCCTGGCTGCTCATCTTTAGGAACACTGTGCAAAACGCTCCCTATGATCAGAATCTGATATCAAAATGAAACTTTGTAATGCACTAAACCTCAGGAAACGTGGTTGCTAGAGTAAATCAAAGAAACTCAATTACCAATGCATAGAAGCTTGCAACCACAGCATACAATACAAAGACCAAGAAAATCTTGTAGTTCCCATGTCCAACACAGTTATTAATCCAAATGCAATGATGGTCCTGCGCATGTGAATTAGGTGAAAATACGAAATTGGAGAGCAGTTAGAAGAATGGAATCACAGAATTAACACTAGCAGCACCATTTTTAGAACACATCTCTTGCAAACACGGCAATGGTGTGCACGTGGAGGTTTATAGTGGCAACATTTCTGGCAATATCTCAAGTCACCACCCTGCAAAAGTAGAGATGTTGTGAAACATACTAATGAGAAACTACTTTTGTCAGATACAAGCAAGAAAGTCTAACACAGTGATGGGCTGGCCCATGATTTTTCCAAATTAAAAGAATGTGCTCAGCTCAGCTTACCCTCTCCCTTCCTCATCTTTTCTATGACAAACTAATATGGCACTGTAGTGAGCATTCACTTTGAAGTTACTGAAGCTAGAAACGAGCAATCATCTACTAAGGGCCTGTTTGGCAGAGGAGCTCTGCCATCTAGGAGGAGCTCTGCCAAATAGTTCTTACTGAGAAGTGATTTTGTGAAGTGATTCTCCGAAATGAACTAAGAGGCTGGGAGTTGAAAAAAGTAGCTTCTCCTGATTACTCCACGCACACGCAGAGTCATAGAGAAACAGAGTTTATCCTAGAGAATCATAGAGAAACATTCTTAACCAGAGGATCACTTCTCTCAGAGAATCTGGAGTACGAGCTCTGCCAAAAAGGCCCTAATAATCTAGAGAACAAATCAAAATCAACTTATGGGCCGTTTGGATCCCTTCATTTTGGAGGAATTGGAATCGACTTAATGGATTAGGCTATTTGGCTTGGAATTTGAGATTTCACAACTTTACAAAGTTCACATATAAGCCTATCTCAAATTCATAGGGTGGGAGATCGAAATCGATTCTATAGATCACCATGCTATGTTTCTAATCTGCAACTTATAGCACGTTCTTCAACTCGCTTCCCTACAGTAGAAATGCAACATATAAACATCTCCCTTGCATAGCTAACAATAGTATACAAATATATTCCATATACAACCATATTAGCTTAATTAATATGTGTCTAAATTATAATTTATTAGAATGAATTCAATTCCAAGGATCCAAACGGGGCATAGGGAAATTAAAAAATCAGACTAGATCCACTCACTTGGTAAAAAGTACTGGCTCAACTCTCGAATCTAAATTATCTACTTGTAACACGTACACCTACCAATGTCCCAGCTGTTAGCTGGAAATTCTAGAGCAGAACTATTTGTACCCAAAATGGTCCAAAATTATCAACCAAGGTGCATCTGAATCGCATTTGCTCAACTTTGAATAAGTTTCCTAAGTTTCAAATGGACGGTGGCAAATTTAGAATCAAAGGTATTCACCAAAACTATCCAAAATTACTAACCAAGCCGCATCAGAATCGCATTTTCTCATCTTTGAGTAAGGTTTCCCAAGTTTGAAACGAACGATAGGAAAATTTGAAGCAACAGCCCCCCCTCCCACCCGCAGATCCAAAACAACACCCCAACACCTAACAGCGAACGGAGGCCCGCCCGCCGAACCCAGGCGAGCAAGGGAGCGAGAGAGAGAGGGGAGGGATGGGGCAACGCCAACGCCAACGCACCTTGCGCTTGATCTCGTGGACGGTGCTCTCGGCGTCCTCGACGTCGGGCACGAAGCCCGGCGGCACCCGCCCGGGGTCCCTGCGCACGGCGACGGTGTAGGTGGCGAGGCAAGCGGCTGCTAGCGCCGTGAACGCGGCGGCGTTGGCTACCCCCGCAGCCGTGGACAGGCCCAGCCACCGCGGCACGGCCACGAACACCGTGGTGTAGTAGACGTACCCGATCGCCGCGACCACGGAGAAGATCGGCAGGGTGAGGTACCCCGGCCGGCCCCCCATCGGGGCGGCGAGGCGAGCCCTAGGACTAGGGTTCTTCCGGCCAGCGGAGGCGCATCGGGACGCGTCCGAGCGCGGGGCAAGCGGGTCGGGCGCGCACGCGGCGTGCGCCCGTTTAAGACGCTCGGCGCACGCGGGCGGAAGGAGCAGCGGCTGGTCCGCTGGATCTGGGAGGAGGCAGGCAGCGAGCGAGCAAAGCGTGGGAGCGGACGAGCGACCAGCGTATTGTATTATGTATGTGATGATTGGTGCTCGGTAGTGATTGGTGCAGCAGCAGCGGTGCTGCAGCAACTCAGCAACGCCAACACACCAGCCGTTGCTGTTCATGCTGGGTCTTATTGGTTAGTCACATTAATATTGCATTACATGAGAGGTTATGCAACATACTTTTAAATTGGACAAAGCAATATGACATTTGATGTTATTTGGTTTACCTAGATAGAAAGTTGTATTGTATTATGTATGTGATTGATTTCCTGCGTAAATAGCTAAACTATGTTTTGGGCTGTAGAGCGATTGCAGGAGCAATGGTGCATAGCTGTATACGCACAATTTAGTCAAACGGTGATATACAGACTGGGCTTGCTTTTGTGAATAGTGCTAGCCTATACATAGACCTATGCAGGATAACCAAACAGGAACGAGGTGCACTTCGAGGGGCTGGATAAGGGGTTATGCAGACAACCAAACAAGCTCACTCTAAAGGAAACTAGCAGCGGCAGCTGCAGCAGCCGGTGAAGTATCACGTGACACCAGCAGCCATAGCGGTCGTTGGCTCTTCCTTGAGTGTTTGTTCTCTAAAGACTGAAGTGATTTTGATTTATAGGGATAAAATCTCCCATAATATCCTCTCTCAATCTTCTTAGACCCCGTTTGGCAGGGCTTTTTCATCAGAGGAGGCATTTGGAGCCATTTTCTTTTTTCTTCTATAAAAGGATACTCAAAAGAGTGCCCCACAATTCATATATCACAAGGAAAACAAAGGTCAATACAAAAGACGGACAACAAGACATAAAATGACCTCCTCCAAAAGATAAGAGTACATTAAAGACCAAATTGATCGTCTTCTTCATTTGGTCGTCCATTGCTTGTCGGAGCTTAAAGATCGCAGTGGAGAGACGATAAAGAAAATGGACACCTACGAACACCCTCGCTAAAACAAGGCTTTGAAGACCGCAATAGCCACTCACCGCTGATGACGAGATCACCCACAAAAAGAACATTGGTTGGAGAAACCCTGAACCCAGCCCAAAGTTTTGAATATGCCAGACCTTGTTGTAGAGCTGACTAAGATAAGTTGTCGAGATTGCCACATCAAAAACCAACCAACTGTTTCCTCTTATAAGGACACAAAATGCCAAGATCTGAAGAAGATCGACAGATCTGACACACCGAACTCTCACTGGCTCTTCGCCGACGTCAGATCAAATGTCGTCGAGGTAGGGAGAGGTCGAAGAGACCTTACTCCAAAGCATCATCATTGCCACCACCTCGTTGACAACGTTAGAAATCAAACCCCTATATCAACAAGGATCAACAAACTAAGTGAAAACTACGAAGGAAACGGGGCCGGGTCCCCACCCCCTGTCCACCGGCAAGATCGCTAGTAAGGAGAGAGGAGGGGGACCGAGGCGAAGTCATGGGAGCATGGGAGGGCGGTGGCTAGGAGGTAATGCGGATTTTGTGATCCATTTAGAGCTTTTTTCGCCACATTGGTATTGTGCTCGTGCACTGTAGCCACATTTGTATAGATAGCTCTCAAGTTGTGACTATAACACACTATTTAAAAATAATAATATTTTATAAAGGGTATTATGTTCTAAAAAATATGAAGTTAAGATGGCCGATTTGGTCTAAGGTGCCAGATTCAGGTACTGGTTCGAAAGGGCATGGGTACGAATCCCATTCTTGACATTGCATGTTTTTTTTTTTTTATTAAACCTGCAATAGATGATTTTTATTTATTTTTTTAAACTGCAATAGATGAATTTTAATCCCATTCTTGACAATAATTTTTTTTGAATCATACAATAGATGATTTAAACCTGCAATAGATGTTTCTGAATCCCATTCTTGACAATTTTTTTTTTTGAATAATGCAATAGATGATTTCAAATCCCATTCTTGACAACAAATATTTTTTTTGAAACATGCAATAGGTCATTCATTTTTTGAGAGTCACCCATTAATTTCTTTTGAAACATGCAATAGATGATTCATTTTTCGAGAAAGTCATGAACCCATTATTCTTGACAATAAATATTGTTTTCTAATTTCTTTTGAAACATGCAAGAGTCACTGATTAATTTATTTTGAAACATGCAATAAATGATCCAAGTTTTGAGAGTCACGAACCCATTCTTGACAATAAATATTTTTAAATTTCTTTCCAAACATGCAATAGATTATTTATTTTTCGAGTCATTGATTAAGGCCCTGTTTGGTTCCGAGCTTCTAAAACTTTAGTTCCTAAAAGTTTTAGGCAGTCTTCTAAAACCTCCTAAAAGAGTGTTTGGTTGCACCTCCTAAAACTGACTAAAGACAATAAATGTTGTTGAACAAAGACACTTTTACCCTTCTTTAGAGGAGAGAGACAGGAGAAGGCAAAAATGACACTCCAGGAAGGACTTTTTTTTAGGAGGAGGTGGAGCTCATAAAGAAAAATCAGCCTTCTAAAACTTTTAGGAGGTTTTAAGAGGGGGTGTTTGGTTCTTTAGACGGATTCTATCCAGATTTTAGCTCATAAAGCTTTTAGGAGGGGTAACCAAACAGGGCCTAATTTCTTTTGAAACAAGAAACATGCTGATTCATTTTTTGTAGAGTCACCGACACCCTTCAAAAAAATACACTGCCTTTTTCGCGAAGTAAAAAAATTTCTCTTGCACCGGCATCCTTCAAAAAAACATGCTGCCTCTTTTCACAAAGTAAAAAAACATTCTATTCAAAGTTTTCATGCTAACATAGCATTTCCCATCGTTTCCAAATATTGTCAGTTTGTCACTCATGAACACTATTTTTATTGGATAAAACTCGTCAGCAATCATAACTTTTTGTAGTCTTTGTGAGGTCTATATTAAAAGTTAACATTTGATATATTTAATTTATATTGCAAGGATTACGTCCATACCTTACAACAGGAATAAAATAGATAATACCACGGGTTTTAAATATTGTCACTCATAAAACATAACATTTTGTAGCATTTGTGAGGGTCTATATGAAAAAAAAATAGCATTTGCTGTATAACTAGTATTATGTCCGTGGGCTGTTAAAATAACTCAAATTTGCTAACCGAGAAAAATTCCCAAAACAACATTCTATTAATGTAGAATAACTCAAACTTGTTGATCGAGAAAAAACCCTGAATGAAGCGAACATGGCACATTGACTTCCCATGGAGCATTGCCATCAAGGTAGAATCTCTCAATAAACTTGCTAAAACACCTAAATTCATTGACTTCCCATGGAGCATGCCATCAAGGTGAAAATCTAAACACCTAAATTCGATCCTATGAAAATCGAACCTAGAACCTGAATGTGCTGCTAAAGCATGCACTTGCAGCCACTGGACAACAAGCTCTTCAGCCAAGATAGCATTACAATAATATTGTTTTTCATTTCTTATATTCATGGCTACCAAATATTTGAAAACCGGGGAAATACAAAGTCGAGCTCTGCCTCTGCACAATATTTGCAATAGGTGCTAGGATCATAATTATCGCAGCGACAGAGCATATCATCATCATTCATCACTTGTGGTAATGAGCAGCACCAGCTTTGCTGCCTCAAACTAGTGCTGTCATGTAACGTCAGTTGGACTTGGATACTTGGATGGCTACGTTCACGTGTAGTATGTTCATAGTTCATACGGTTGCGTGTATAGCAACCGACTGAATTGTGGAAAAACAGCTGACGTGTGAGCAGAACATTCGTCAAGGAGGGAAATATCTGCTCACCTTATCAAATACAGTAATTAATCAATATCTACTACTGACGACCATATTGAAACACCCAGGGTAGGAAGACGAATGCACTCAAACTGTAAACGGACGCCAAACAACGACCAGCACAAAACCTACTGTAGATGAGGAACAACTTTGATCTTTGATTACACCCAGTAAAATATCACCAAAACAATTGTAAAATAAAGAACAATACAATACACAGTACTTTATTATGTAAAAAAAAGGCTATTCACTACTGTATTTTACCACTACATGCTTTATTATTACGTACATGTATAAATGTAACAGTATAAGCTCAATCAAATTGGTGAGCGAAGTATTTGGGCCAGAGTCCAGAGCTGTGCAAGTAATGGTCAGTGGAGCAGGAAGCCGAGGACCTCCTTCACGCGGCTCTGCCAGGCCGGCTTCCCGGCCGCCGCCGGCTTGGCGTTGACGCTGCCGTCGTTGCCGGCGAGCACCGTGTACTTGTCCTTCCTCGTGAGGGTGGTGCACTCGAAGCCGAGCGTGGCGGCGAGTATCCGCTGGACGTAGTTGGCCACGTCCACGGGGCTCTTCCCCGCCGCGCACGTCGCCTCCGCGGGGAGCTGGTTCAGGAACGTCACCTCGTACACGGGCCGCGGGTTCATGAAGAAGAAGATGGGGTCCATGGCCTTCCACCCGCGCGCCGTCGTCGGGTGGAAGAGCCCCACGCGGTAGTTCATCGCCACGGGCACGATCCTGTCGCTGAGCTCCGCGAAGAGCTTGGAGAAGCGGAGCAGGAAGGGCTCCCGGCACGTGGTGCCCTCGGGGCACACGGCCACGTCGCCCCGGGCCAGCTCGGCCCGCATGCGCGCCGCGTCCACGTCCCGGTCGCGCGTCAGCCGCATCGTCGGGATCGGGGAGAGGATCTCTGAGAGGCGGGAGATGGAGTAGGTCACGGCGGCCACGCGGCGGCCGAGCACGGTGGCCAGCACCACGGGGTCCATGAGCGTGCGGTGCGTGCAGACGAAGAGGACCCCTGAGGGCGAGCCGCCGTCGTCCGTGGCGGCGTCGCTGAGTCTGACAGGCGGAGGCGTGCGGCCGTGGATGATCACGGCGCCGCCGAAGACCGGCGCGATGTAGGGGATGGTCCAGATGGGGACCATGAGGCCGACGGCGATCCGGACGAAGGCGACCAGCACGCCGAGGGGCAGCCAGAGGAGGATGACGAGGGACATGAATGGCGTGGGCCGGCACACCAGGCGGCCGTCGTGGAAGATGACCGGCCGGAACGGTGGCGCGTTCGTCTCGTGGTCCGCGGTGAACGGCGGCCTGAGCTGCTGCTCCTGCATGCATGAACGTAATACATAATCATCAGATGAAATTTTACTGCTTAATATATTGCCAAAAAAAATTTATATGTCCAACATGTTCTTGCTGGTTGTTTTTTTGAAAGAAAAGTTGCATGCTGAATTAATGCGCCGAGACTTTTGTGGTTATATTTGCTGACATGGACAGATGATATAAAATGGTTAAGGTGATGATGTGCTGTAGTTATGGACTTATGGTTCACGTTTGTCCTTATATCTTACATAGGCCGGAGGACGGAGATATTCTCCAGCCATGGGCAAGAAGGTCTACTATATAGGTGCATGGGTTGTAGGAAATCTGCTGTGCTACAGAAGCGTGTTTGAAACTCTGTGCTGCGGTACTATACATCTTGCCCAAAGGGAAGGAAAAAAAAAAGCGTTGGAGACAAACAAAAATACGTACGATTCCGTACCTGGCAGAATGTCAAGAAGGAGCGCGCCATCTCTGACCCGCCGATCCCGAGGTCCGGCCGGTCGTCGCCGGCGAACAGCGCGCGCACAAGGGTGGCGACGGCCTCACGGCCGGCGCCTTTCAGGAGCCCCGTGGACCGCCTGAGCCGGCTGTACTCGAGGTCGCAGCCGACCACCTCGTGCGCGCCGAGGTGCTCCTTGGCGAAGCGCTCCACCATGACGCGGGGCATCCGCGTGACGACGACGCGCTTCCCCTCGCAGCTCCCGAAGGCCGCCCACGCCGCGGGGTCGACGTCGTCGGCCATGAACTTGGGCAGCACGGCCCGGGACACGGCCTCCACCTCGGCGCGAGGCACCCCGACGGTGGCCACGAACGCGGCGGCGCGCAGCGCCAGGTCGCGCCGCCGGCCCGGACCGGCCCCCAGCTCCAGCAGCCGCAGCAGGGGCCACAGCGCCAGCAGCAGCACGAAGCGCGGCAGCCCGGAGGCCTCGAACGCCACCAGCATGAAGTACGGGAACGTGTCCGCGCTCCGGAGCAGCGCGCCCTCCAGCTCGGCCACCACGGACCGGGACCGCCGCGCGCGCGGCGACGCTGGCGCCGCCGAGGACGTTGGCATCATCGTCAACGTCGGTCGGTCGGTGTGGTCCTGATCGCAAAATCGAGCTCCTCCGACCGATCCTGGCCCTGCTGTGGGCGGGCTAGCTTGTTGTGATCGATCGACCGAGACGTGGACGACTGATGGATGGATGGCGATGAGTCGAAGGAAGCAGCAGGTGCGAGTCGAGCAAAGGACGTGCACGAGGATTATATGGGAGGCACAGGCGGTGGGCAGCGTTTGGCTTGACCTCGATCACCTAGCGTGCGCGCATGGCGCCGGTGCGGGTAAGCGGCCGTCAACCACCCCGCACCTGCGGCTGCGGAGCGGTAGGATTAGCGCGGAGCCTTGCGCCCCGCGCCTGCTGGGTCCTCTCCTGGGATACGTACGTGCAGAGAGCAGGGTGGCGCGCAAAATAGGCGCGGGAGATCGAGGTGATCACCTAACTCGCAACAAACAGGGGCCTGGTATTATACTATAACTAGAAGCAGCCAACTGCGTGGACGAGTAAACTGATCTCGGCTGATTGACCACGATTCCTTATTTATTTATGCCCGCGCTAGCCAGCCACCCGCGTGGCGTGCGTCAAGCGTGCTGTGTGAAACGAGATGACGAGATGGCTGGGTGTCCATGGAACAGAGCAGTTGCGTGGGCGAAGTCGCGAAGAAGGCGGTTGATGACTGACCGCGTCGCGGTAGCAGGCGCGGCGAGGTCGACGGAATTTAAAGGCGGTGATAGCCACTAACGGTGCCCGCTAGAACGTTCTCGCCAACGACGCATCCATCACCCGCCCGGCGCGCGGCGCGCGGCAGAAACCGATGGCGGCCGCCTTTGCGTTGCGCCGCTGGGTCCCGGTGGGGCAGGCAGGCTGTCGATCGCCTGTTTCCAGTGTTGGCCATTGGTTATTGCTCGCGCAACTCGGTCAGCGTTTCCTCCTCTCCTTACACAGAGGGGTGGACAGTTGCTTCAGGGTTAGGCTTAGGCTTAACGAGTGGGCTATCGGGGTGCTTTAGCTGGATAAGATTAAAGATAAGATATCCTGATTGGAGCCATACTCGACCCCTCTACCGGTCTTTTTCCAACACGTTTTTTTTTTATCTGCTCATGTGTTTTTCCCGTGAAATCAAAGCGATGAATCCTGTGAAATTCCTACGTTCCAAACATTACCCTATGCAGGTAACATTTCCGATTCATATAGGAATTGAGCTACCTCTTGTGTGAGATTATATATAAATACTGCAAAACTTCCACGATCTTTTTCGTTCTGAAATCGTCAGCCAAAATCATTCTCAGCCCCCAAAGTATGGTACATATGCTTCCTCAGATTACATATTAATAATAATAAATATTCATCTAGGTTTGTGCTAAGTTTCAAATTTTCTATAAAATTAGTCAGAATTATAAGTGTTTAAAACTTATGATAAAACTAAAATAGTCAGTAATTTAAGATGGAGTATTAAAGTAATGAAATAATTGCCAATATATTATGAAAGTTTTTTTTTACGAATATAGTAATGTTAGTGGACATATTTGTTCAAGCTTTTTTCAGTCAAAAACAGCAGCTACTGCTGTAGTGCCAGCAGAAAGAAATTACAGTTACAGCTGCTGCTGCTGCAAATAAGCAGGCCCACTATATTGTTTTTTTTTGAAAGCCTGGGTATAGCGGTAGTATATGTTCATGCACGAACACACACCCACACTACACATGCACGCCCTATAAAGAGATATGAAAACGAGATTACCCTGACTGGGCTCTCGGCTCATGTATTTATACTCATATAAGGTGTTCAACAGATTACATGCTGATCTCAACAGATCATGCCGTGATACAGATGCCTTACAAGCTATAAATTATATCCTATCATATTAGAAGATATCTTATCATCTAACACCCTCTCTCAACATCAGCCACGGGATTGAATATACATGGCAATTTGGATCGGAGGCGAGGACGATCACGTCACAGTCCCTTCCCACTGTATTGTTTTCTCCTATGCTGTTCGGTGCTCGCGGGAACAACATCACCAAGAACGTGGCTCATGCCGGTTTGCAGCGTGCAACACTTTTGGAAGCACGGTCGTAACCACCGCACAGGCTCCGTGACCACGTCCACAGCGAGCCAGGCGGTCCGCGGCCGGACGAGCCGACGAGGGCTGACGCGCCGACGCCCGACGCCCAGGCGCCGTGCACCCACTTGCAACAGCAACGCGCTCCTTGGGGTTGACCGTGCGCTCTGGTATGCGGATGCGGACATGGGAATGGAAGAAGAGCTACCCACCGGGTGCTGCAAATGCAAATAGTCAACATGACAACGAGCTACAAGGGGTGGAACAAGAGCTAGCCACCGAGTGCTGCAAATGCATATAGTCAACAGGACAACGACCGTGATGAGAGACAGGGTCGTGTATGCTGTACATGTTGACTGGTTTTATAAGCGTACACCTATCAGTTCAGTCATATTCCTTCCATCCTAAGATAAATAATAAAACATATTTTTATAATTTAAATATATTTACAGATACTTATTTTAAATCTACTTTAAATCTATGATAATTTTAAATCTATGGTAATTTTTTTTTGGAGACGGGAGTATATGCAATGAGTCCGCTACGAGACGACTGACCGACTCAGCATAATCTAGCAATACGATGGTAGCTGTAGCAGGGTTGAAGAGCTGCGTCTGCGTACACCCGCCTCTGCAATCAAGCGAACCAACATCTCAAATCATATCGCTGCATCTTCAACCATTATCCTGAGTATATGTGATATCAGATTCTCGGATGTACAATTTCTTAGGACCATGGTCAGTCCAGTGGTGTTGAGATAAATTAAACCTATTAGCAGTATAGATGCTGAAAAGGGATCGCTTAAGCTAAGAGCGTGTCTAAGAGTTTGTTATAGTTGACTGGTTAAACAAATAGATTTAGCAACTTAAGAGAAAAAATACTAGCAACTTTAATTTTTTCTTCTTCTCGATCAGTCTCCTATAATAGCTTTCTAACAATTTTGCATTAGGAACCGAACTATTTCTAACCAACCAAACTTTTCTAAAAGTTGTTTTGTCTATGTCAATTTCTTATCTGGAATCCTTTATTTTCTTAATTTATAAATGCGTCCAATTTAGTTCAATCCCCCAAGAAAAATGCTGGACGGGGAGTCAATATAGAAGTCCTCTCACCGTGAAAACTTACGAGTTATGCAGAGAATATTTAACATTTTTTATTTTTAGAACTCCTTTACCAAACTGTTAAAGGACATATTTTCCTTTTTTCTAAAAGACTAAAATAAAGAGTTGTCTTACAAAACTTCTGTAGATGCTCTTAGAGCATCTTAAGAAGTTTGGTATAATTTACTTGCTAAACTAAGGAATCTAGCAAGTTAGCAAAAGAAATAACAACATTAAATTTTCTACTTCTCCAACGGTCTCCTATAATAATTTCCTAAATAATTTTTCATCGGAAAACCCAAACTATTTATAACCAACCAAATCTGTTTTAATAATTTCTTTGTCTCTTCTCATTTTCTCATCTGAAATTCTTTGTTTCTTAATTTACACATGCGTCCAATTTACTTTGATCTTTAGAGTTTTTTTTTTTTTTTCGAAAGCGTGCATGGACATGTGCTTCGTTAAGAAGAAGTAAGATACAAACAACATCTGGGGTTGCAAAACGGCGAGATGGCGGTGGCAACCAACCGGTGAATATACACAGACACAAGGCACCGGCTGCAACGGTGGCGCTAGAAAGGCGTACTAACTTAGGAAACTAGATTTGCGACTAAGAAAAAGGATGGCCGATGGCCGCGGCTGCTAGGTACCTAATGCGATCAGCGACGCCAGACTCTGATCCGGGAGTCCACTTCTTCTAGAATTAGCGCGAACAGCTGAGATGGCGTCCTGTCTTGTTGTCGAATGTCCTCCAGAGCTCTTTTTATCAAACTGTTGAAGGATACTTTCTCTCTCTCTTTTTTAGAAAGTTTAAATAAGGAGTTGTTTTACAAAAACTATTGGAGATGCTTAGTTCAGCTGTCAACATGTTAGGGGGTGTTTGATGCAGGGGCTAAAGCCTAGGAGGTGTCACATGGGGTATTCGTATACTAATAAAAAATTAATTACAGATTCCGTCAGTACTCCGCGAGACGAATTAATTAAGTATAATTAATTCATTATTAGCACATATTTACTGTACACCACATTGTCAAATCATAGACAATTAGGTTTAAAAAAATTGCCTCGTAAATTAGTCTAAATCTATGTATTTAGTTTCGTAATTAGTCTATATTTAATACTCTATATATGTGTCTAAACATCCGATATGATAGGAGCTAAATTTTAGCAGCAGTAACCATACACCCCCTCAGTGTCATTCTTAATACCTCTGAAAAGACCCCTGGGTTAACAGACATCGCAGTTTCCACGGAGTCCTGGACGCTACACCTGAGCTGAGATGACGCGGCCATCGCCGTCGGGCGTGATGTGAAACGCGAAAACGGAAACGGAGCTGCCACCTTCCACCAATCTCTCCGGTAATAATGCAGTGACAAGTAACAAACTGCATTAAACTGGTCGTGTCACAGAAAGTTTGTTGGTTTGGAATCATAAACTGATCCCTATTATAGTCACAGTTGCTTTCGATTACATAAACACCTGCTGTCCGATGGAGTCAGACCAACAATTCTTAAACAATCTGTGAAAATGGTTACTCTCAAGCAACAAAAAGAATGTTGATTTAGTATAGCTTGATAACAGGACGGTTGGTCGATACTTATGGATATTTTATTTAAACAAAAGTAATCAATACCTTTTACAAATAAAAAAAGAATATTTTTGAGGATTAATAATGGCTACTCGTTTTGCAGACCTGAGTTCAATATGATTCCTGGTGGCTGATTGAGGAGGAGGAACAGTTCTAATAACAATTTATGGAAAACTGGAAACAGGTACTCGCAAATAATTCGACAATTGTCAGGGCTGGTATAGTTTTGATAAAACAAACTGTTGGTCTATACAATAAAAAATATTGTTTTTTGAGAGTTCTTACCTCATCAGTCATCACCACTACAGTTATCTTCTTGTTAAGCTCTGCTCTGCCGCTACCCAAATAGTAGGAGCATGTTTTTTTTTCCCATCCAAATCTAGGTTTCTACTGCAGTAGATTCAGTATAAACTGTTTTAGAATGAACTAAACAGTTTATCCCTCCAGGTAAACACTCATCCATGCTCTTCCTAGTTTCTGCAAATCAAGCGGACAAATAGTTCTACAATTGTTTTTCTCTAACGCACAGATATTGTTGTTATACAATTGTCAAATCAACAGAGGCTGCTACGGATTGATTAAATTCAGAATGGACCCAGAATTAACAGGTACACACAGGCTCTAGTTAATCAATGCTTATGTGCAGGTCATTCGAGGTGAAAAGGATGATGATTGCTTTCTTCTGGACGAGGTAATAAAGAAGGAAGCTAGAAGTCACACATCGAGACAGGACATAAGTCACTGTTGTAAAATTATGAAACTGATAATTCTGTTTTTGAGTACTGCCTTCCATCTGTTTGGAGCTGTTCTCGGCCTATTGTTTTTGAGGCGGCCGATACTGTTTTGTTGTAAAAAAAAATAATGTATCTTATTTGATAAGCTAGGTTGATGAGTTTAAGTGAACAAGGCCAATTATCTTATGACCAAATGACAAATGGAACATTGTAAATTAGTCGTATTTCGTTCAGAAAAAAATACTCTAAATGTGCTTTAAACATCCGATATGATTAAATTTTTGAGAGAAAAAAAGTGTCATTCTTAATCTCTGAAAAGACCCTGAAAAAATAAGTTCCACGGAAAAAAGACGGATTATAAGAGAAGCGAACATGACCATTTTTTTAATAAGAAATGGAGCAACTTGAAATTTAGAAAGAAGACAAGTAATAAGAAAGTGAAAGGTTGGTTTGGTAAGAAAATCACAGTTGCTTTCATTACACAACACAGAATGTTTAGAGTCGACCAACAATTCTTAAACAATGTGAAAATAGAGTATTAAATATAGATGTTAATTACATAGCTTGATAACACTACGGTTGGTCGATAGATGGAATCTTTTAAACAAAAGCCTAATTAGTTCATGATTTGACAACGTGGTGCTAGACCTGAGAAAAATTCCTGGTGTGCTAAGGAACAGTTCTAATATTACTGGAAACAGGCTCGCAAAAAATCGACAATTGTCTGCAAATTAGTTGGTCCATCTATGTAATTGGTTTTGTAATTAATCTATATTTAATGCTCTTTATTAGTATCTAAATATTCGATGTGACATGAATTTTAGAAACGACTAAACAACGAACACCCCCTAAAACTATTACAAGGTGAATAAGTTGTTTATAAGGATGCTAGAATCTGATACTGTAGTTGTGCGTAGTAATTGTCGGATCTTTAAATTTAAATGATATTCTGAGTATAGTACATATTTGAACCATATCAACAACAACGTAGATAAATCTCGTAGAAATCCCTAATGACGATGTTAAGACAATAACGACAAGAAATTAAAATTTTTAGTGAAGCGGACCAAGACTCTCGTGCTCCTACGAGTTATAGCAATATATTTGTTAGAAGCTACAACTATAAAGTTCGACTCTAAGATAAATTACAAGCTATAACATAATCATTTCAACTCATATAAAGTCGTCTAGGTCAATGCTGACAACCAATCTATGTTTTATTGAGATTTAGAAAAAGGGGATAAGTCCGGGAATTATCAATCAAACAAGGCCAATTATCTTTTTTCATTACGATAATTTTATGGAGCATCTATAAATTTGTGTTTGTATGATTATATTATCTGTCTAGAAGATATTAATAGGTATATATGACAAGAATTTTATATAATCTTCCTCTTATGTCGGATCTTTAAATAAAATAAAAGTATATTTGAAGTTATACTACTAGAATTTTTTTGTTGTCAAACATAAAATTTTTAGTGAAGCGGACCAAGACTCTCGTGCTCCTACGAGTTATAGCAATAAAGTTCGACTCTAAGATAAATTACAAGCTATAACATAACCATTTCAACTCATATAAAGTCGTCTAGGTCACTGCACAACAGCATATACCTTGTTAATTTGTATACAGGAGAAACGAGCTAAAACGTCCTCCATAATCCAAATCCGTTGTTCTCGAAACTCGTCGAAGAGCCGCGTGTCACAGGCTCACCGCTTTGCTACTTCTTCAGGGTTTATGCATCGTCCAAGCTGAACACGTCACCCTTGCCAAGGGTCCCTTGGTACTCCTCCAGGCTCTCCGCCGCTTTTAGCGCTTCAGTACGCGGCGCCGGCGCCGGCGCAGGCGCGCAGCCATGGCGATGAGCTGGATCCGATCGGCTCTCAAGGAGGCCCTCATATCTCCGAAGCCGTGGGGCTCCCGCCAGTTTGCTGCCGCCGGCGGCGGCGGCGGCGGCGGCGAGACGCAGGCCGAGAGGGTGGCGGCGGAGATGGTCCGCTACGCCCTCGGCGGCGCCGTGCACCGGAGCTCGCCAGGTTCCCCCTTCGCCCCGTCTATTTGCGCTAGTCTGCATTAGGGTTTTGAGGACTCGCTCATGTGCCCTGGACTGCTGTCGCTGGTGTGCCAGAGGAGGCGATGCGGATACTGGAGCAAGGCGCCTCGAACCTGCAGGGCGGAGGCGAGGGCAGCGCCGAGGCTGTGGGGCTGCTCATGCTCGCTATGTCCACGCTGCTCTACCGGAGGTACGGTGCGCTGCACCACTCACTCTTTTTTGTAAAATGCGAACAGATTTTTTACCAGTTTTGCGGACTCTGCAAGGCTGCAATGTGGTGGATCCGGCCTTGGGCCAATTGATCTTGATCTTGATCTGGGCGGCTAGTTATAGAGTTTTAGCTTTGTATAGGTGCAGCAGTTAGGATGATTTTGGGCATATATGATAGTATGATACTAGAGTGCAGTGGCGAAGCTAGAGCAAATTGGAGGTGTGCTTGCCTTGTGGTGCATAGCCCCCTCAGTTATATGTAGCTTCGCCCCTGCTAGAGTGAATGTGTCTACTGGTTTGCATATTGGCAATGTATTGGTGCATGGTGATAGTCCAGATGATACATCAACAGCTCTTATTTTGCACTTTGGCTTTAAATCCAATCAAAATTTTGTCAGCTTTCGCTAACCCTGTAATATGGTGGTTTGGGCTCTTATTTTTGGGTCAATTTGGCCTCTGACCTTAAGTTGTTTAGATTTATATATCTGCGGCATTTAGGAAGGATTTAGGCATAGCGCACATTATGTAAAGAACAGAGGATGAGTGGATGTGTCTTCCAGAGACCAGAGTGCAAATTGGGCTATTGCTTATGCATTGGTTCATGAGATAATCTGAATCTGGAGGATAAATCATGGAGAATATACCTTTTATAGACGTTTTACATTAACATTACAACTACCTAATATGATCAATATACAATATCTGTTGTGGATAGTTACGGCTTTCATGTGGTATAATTAGGTTGAGCTAGTAGCTAATTATATAAAACCCTAACTGGATCCTTGATTTGTTTTTCTAGTTAGATCATCCATCTTGAGCAGAGTTGAGTCGTTTCAGCAACCTCATGTTCTCTTTGTGCAGTGGAAGACGCCAAGATGCAATGGAAAAGCTCAAAGCAACCCAACAAGTTGCCCCTTCTGCAGCTTTTAGAGGTGATTTCACAACTCTACTTTATATAACGGTAATTCTGTGTGTCTGGCAGGTTGTACAGACTGTAGATGCTTGTTGTTTAAACATCCAATACAAATAGATCGTAAGTCCTACATTATCTTATGTTTTTTTTGGTGTTGGTATAAATAAAAAAACAAATGCTATAGATATCAAGTGTTCTTATTTAGTGGATGATGATCCTTTGGCTTTCATGTGCCAAAAAAAGAAAGATATCAGTAGAGATGTCTCTGAGAAAGTTGCCCGAAAATAGAAGTGAATAAGTTTTAGGTCTTCAAAAGACAGAGTTGGGGTTATTAATGCAGTCAAAAGTCTTTGAATGACATTTCTGATGGGAATTGTTAATTGATTCTGCAGTTGCAGCGTGGGAAGCGCTAATGGGATTACACATGGAGGCAGGGCAGGTTTGGTACTAGAAGCTCATTTAGTCTTCAGTGTCCTTATGTGAGGTTTTAAAGTATTTTGAATACAGGTGATGTCCTACTTGATTTCCCCAAATGATTTAGTTGATCTGTCAATCAAAGATGATAGCAAATGGTCTGATCAGGACCATCTTAAATTTCGGGTTAATGCTATCAGGGGACTTGTTGCACTTCTGAATGGAGAAACAGAATCAGGTTCTTTTTGATCTCATGAATGTTGTCGTTAGATCAGACTACAAAATTTGGCTTACGTTTGCTCTTTATCAGCTGCCCAGCTGTTCGTTGATTGGCGTAGAGATTTTTCTGGAGGCGAAAACCAAACACGTATAACTATCTTTGAAACAGAATATTCACATTTTTCTTTTCCATAGTGAATACTTGAGTCTCATTGATTTCCCTTCCTCAGAAAATGCTGCCATTTCATATGGTGAATATTTGCATTGTGTTGGGGATTTTCAAATGGCAGCACAAGTGTATGAGAAAATTCTCGAGGCATTTTGCATGGATGATGTGTCTGGAAACCTTTTAGCAGCTGGAAACATGGTTCCTGACGAGGCTTCTCTTGGGGTCACTTGCTCATATGGCCAGCTTTTATCTCACTCTGGGTAAGGAACAGAATCATCTCTACCATTATTCTTTGGTTAGATATTATAGATTAACCCCAATATTTGATTTATGAACCCACAGATCATTCACCTTTTGGATTAATATCTTCCCTTTTATGGGGGCTCACCTTTTCATTTTAATCCAGGAAGTTTGCTGAGGCAGAGGATTATCTCACAAGAGCTCTACAGAAGGCTGAAGAACAATTTGGTTTGTCACAATAAGTTTGTTGAAATGAATATAAGAAAAAAGTTGCATTCAAGTGCTTGACCACAATTGAATAATCATATAATCTTTAATCCATGTAGGTGCAAACCACCCAAAGGTCGGTATTATATTGACCTGTATAGCTAGAATGTACAAAATGAAGGCAAGATCGGAAGGTTCTACTTCAATTATGGTCCAGGAGGTCTGTAAATCTTTCACTCTTTGAACAGTTTGTGTTCACTGGAAATAATTATGAATAACATTTATCCTTAATTTCTCTCTTCCTATCTATTGTACTTGTGGAAGAATTTTATTCTATCTATGTGACCTATACTTGAACACAATATATCTAATCATCTGTTTGGTTGCAGGGATTGTATAGGAAGGCCCTAGAAGTATTGAAAGCTCCTGCTATTAATTCTGAGGGTAAAAACAATGATCTTGTATCGATGACAAGGTTCCTCTTGATACGTTGACATTATTTTTATTTTGCAGGTACCAGCAAGCAGGTCGATTGGAGAGATATCATCTCCCTTGCTAGAGGTTATATTTTTAAATTTGAACTATTATTATCTAATTTTTTCTACACTAAGGCTCTTATATTAGGAAATAGTCCATGAAACTCCTAACATCAGGTTACTTAGTAGTTAGTACAATAATGATGACACCATGTTTGTGATCTGTACTGATGATCAGTTCAGTATTTGAGTTTGCTATGTAGCTCTTACAAAGCAACAGGTGGCATACTGTTTATAATCTGGTGTCACTACAATCAGTTGCGTTTGAATATTTTCCTTAGTTTATTCATCCTAGCATATCCAGAACTGCATCTTCATACATTCTTCTGTCTTAAGAACCTTATTCCACAGGCTTGCATTGTAACCCAAATGCGAAGCTAACTATGGGAAATAATGATTTCTATTCATTTTAATTCCGAGTTCCATTATTTGCTATAGGTGTTGGCCCTTAATTAACTAATTTTTCAGTTGATTGAACTAGAGCAAATCCATGTATATCCGTGGATTGCTCTATGCCTTCTTTTTTGAATAGAAGGTTTCCCCCGCTTTACATCTATAAAGCGAAGAACAGTCCAGTGCAGAGTTAGGCGCCATCGCGCACAGAGCAGCCAAGCTGCCAAAAACCAACAGAAGCAGCCAAGCTGCCAAAACTAGAGTTTAACCAGCTCCACAGCAGAAACTAAACTAGGCCTATTACATTGATCCCAGATCACATCGCTTGAGACCTCCGAAGGCTGAGCATCTGATTGCGCCAACTCTAATGAATCCTGTCTCCAACTGATCCGCGGCACCAAGCTTGCTTCTGCTCTATGCCTTCTTGTCTCCCATCGATCTGTAATAAGCCTTGCATTTGTCGGGTCCTGATAAATCTGACTATTTCAACAATTTGAATATAAGCTATCTTTGCTACCAGTTCTTGTGTATAACAATTTAAATATTGCTTTATACGGATTGTTGCCTTGTGGTTTGGTCACCCATTCTTAAGATTTTGAGACAATACTTAAACTAAGCTCGACTTGCAGGTGAGTACGCAGAGCTGTTATTAATTCAGTCTAACAGGAAGGCGGAAGGTGAACGGATGAAGCAGTGGGCAGAAGATGCTTGGAGGAGCCGTAGGCTAACGCTAGCACAAGCTCTAGAGTTTTCAGAACCTTCAAAGCCGACTCTTGTTGTTGACACCCGAATCGGCAGGGTCGTGTAGCTTTCAGCTAAACCATCTCATGAGATGTACCAGGAGCAATTCGTGAATGCACCTCATGTATGTAATAATAATAATAATATTTCGAAGTGTTGCTCCCAGTGGACTGCCTGCGCTTTGCGGGTTTGATGCGTCACTCGTCCCAGTGTGCCTGCTTGTTTTTTCCTATCACCTTTTTTTTAATCTCCTACCACCTTTTTTTTGATAAAAAATAGTTGGTCTCATCACTTGGAAGTTGGAATAGATACTGATGGAACGAGTGAGTTGGACAGGTAGCAGGCCGGAAACTCGAACGAAAGACGCCCATGCCTGCTCATGGATGGATTCTAGCTCCCGTACAGCCCAGCCCAACTGGGAACTGTCCCGAGTCCCGACTCCACGTGTTCAAATGTTCAAGGAAAATCCCTTTCACTCTCTTCCACGATCACTCCGACATCAATGCAAAGCAAAAAAAACAAAGGCTGCTTGGCCAATGGTATGCAGGTCAAGAGATGAGGGTGGTCTGGGAGTTCTCAACTTGAAAACCCAAAATGAAGCTTTATTAATCAAACACCTTCATAAGTTCTTCAACAGAGATGACACCCCTTGGGTCTCCTTGGTCTGGGAAAAATACTATGGAAATGGAAAATTACCTGGAGAGGTGAAAAGAGTGTCCTTTTGGTGGAGGGACGTGTTAAAGTTGCTGGATAAGTATATGGGTATGGCAAGGGTACAGATTTGCAATTGAAAGTCCTGTTATCTCTGGGGTGATCTCTGGGAGGATGAGTTAATTTCAGCTAAATTACCAGAACTATTCTCATATGCAAAGAAAAAGAAAATTGTTTTTGCTGATGGCTTCTCTCAGATTCCTATTCACGGTTTATTCCACCTCCCCCTCTCCCAACAGGCTCATGATCAGATGTTACAACTCCAAGTGATGCTAGAACAGGTGGAACTGAGTAATTTACCAGACCGGTGGACATATATCTGGAATTCTAATCTCTTCTCAGTAAGGAAAGCTTACAAACAGTTAAGTGGTCACTTAGTTTTGCACCCGGTATACAAGTGGCTTTGGAGTTCTTGTTAGAACAAGCACAAGGTCTTTTTTTTGGTTACTCATTAAGGACAGGCTAAGGCCCCGTTTAGATGCGAAATTTTTTGGCTTTTGGCTACTGTAGCACTTTCGTTTGTATTTGGCAAAAATTGTCCAATTATGGACTATTTAGGCTTAAAAGATTCGTCTCGTCAATTACAGACAAACTGTGCAATTAGTTATTTTTTTTACCTACATTTAATGCTCCATGTATGTGCCGCAAGATTTGATGTGACGGAGAATCTTGAAAAATTTTGGATTTTGGCTTGCATCTAAACGGGGCCTAAGTAGAAGGGAACTTCTAAAAAGAAAGAACATGGTCCTCCAGGACTACAATTGCATCCTTTGTAATGGCTCCAGGGAGGAATCACTTTGTCACTTATTTCTTGAATGTCCATTTGCCATTCAGTGCTGGGCATGGCTCAATATTCAGGTTGATAGCTCGCTGGATCCCTTCCAAATCCTCCAAACCTTCAGAGATCAGTTGCAAGTTTCTTTTGCCATGGAGATTATCATCATCATGTGCTGGACAATCTGGAAAACGAGAAATGACATGATCTTTCGACAGCTGAACCCAGACCTACAATCAGCAAAAGTAAATTTCAGGGAGGAAATGCAGTTACTCCTTCTAAAACTTAAAAGAAGATTCTTACCCGAGTTCAATCAATGGATGGGCAATCTTTCCTAGCCTGGGCCTTGTTTAGATTGGGGTTATGAATCAGTATTTGACACTGTAGCACTTTCGTTTGTATTTGACAATTATTGTCCAATCATGGCCTAACTAGGTTCAAAAGATTCGTCTCGTAATTTACAATCAAATTGTGTAATTAGTTATTTTTTTATCTACATTTAATACTTCATACATGTGTCCAAAGATTTGATGTGATGAAGAAAGAGTGAAAAAACTTACAATCTAAACAAGGTTTGGTCACTTGCAGTCTAACCCTCATTTTCTTCCTCTCTTTTTTGTACCCTGATGCCCCTACTGTCCTTTGCTGTCCTCCTGTTTTGCTGTACTGTACTTTTCTTTTTGGAATTTGAATTCTTAGGCTGTTTAATAAATGCGCTGTAGGGGTGTAAACCCCTCCAGTTTCTATAAAAAAAAAACGATCACTCGGACCCGGGGGCCCGACAATCCGGGCCCACATGACAGTGAGGCATCGACGATATTTTTAGGAGCCAATCGGCCACCGCACGAGGTCGGGCCCGCGAGAACGCAACTTTTAAATTCGCTGTCGAGCCGCTGTCGCTTGGGAGTCGCGAGCATCAACCCGACGCTGCCACGCGTACCGCCGGCCCCGCTAATCACTGGCGCCTTCCCCCACGCCGCTTGTACTCTCCGCTGACAGCGGCAGCATCAGGCATTCACAGCCGACATGTGGTTCCCTCCGCCAACAGCCGGCGCTCTGTCCCCTCCACGTGTAGGGTTGCCACGGGCGGCAGGCCCCCCCGCCTGATGGCGCCTCCTCCGGTCCTCCCGCGTGGGAGAGGGAGAGCACGGCACGGTGTTCTTATTGCTCTGGCGCCCCTACCCTCGCGCTCGGAGGCTCACGCGTCCAATATAATCGCCGCACACGGTTGGTTTGCTCCGCTTGCCCGAGGGCGACGGCGACGCGGGTGAGTTGAGGAGACGGGAAGGAGGCGCGACAAAAAATCTAGCGCGCGCGCGCGACGTCGTTGCGGTGGCATTGCGTCTCGGCCTCCTTGCGTGCGTACGCCGGGGACCGGAGCCGATCCTGCCCCGCCTCGCCTTCGCACGCCATGGCCGAGATTTGCTGCGAGGAGACCAAGTCGACCCCGCCGGCGTCGGCTTCGGCCATCACGGCGCTTGCCAGGCGCCGCCCCAGGGTGGAAATGGCCGTGGCCGAGGCATGCCGCTCCAGCACCACGCCGCCCGCGGACGAGGGTGGCGGTGCCAGTGACACGCCCACACGGTGCGGCAAGCGGCGGAGGGTGGCGTGCGCGGCGCCCGCGCGCTCGTGCCAGAGGCCCCGGACGACGGGGTACGGCTCGACTTGGTGGCCGAGGTACGGCGTCACCTCGGTCTGCGGCCTCCGTCGCGAGATGGAGGATGCCGTGTCCATCAGGCCGGACTTCCTGCGCGGCGCCGCCGACCCCTCCTCCGGCAAGCACCATTTCTACGGTGTCTTTGACGGTCACGGTTGCTGCCATGTATGCGCGCTCAACTCGTGTCATAACTCGTAAGCGGCGAGCGATCCAGCGAATGCGTGTCAAGTAGTGCTGACTGCTGAGCGGGTGGTGTTCTTGTGCCATCAGGTGGCCAGGATGTGCCAAGACAGGATGCACGCGCTTGTCGCGGACGAGTACAAGAAGGCGGGCTCTGGCAAGAGTGCCTCGGCAGCGGCGGAGCCCGCCTGGGAAGAGGTGATGAAGAAGGGGTTCGCGCGGATGGATGATGAAGCTGCGAGCCGGGCCGCGAGCCGCAGCAGCAACGGCGGCCTCGCCTGCCGCTGTGAGCTGCAGAAGCCCGCGCGGTGCGACCACGCGGGCTCAACCGCCGTCGTCGCGGTTGTCAGCCCCACCAGCGTAGTCGTCGCCAACGCCGGCGACTCCCGCGCTGTCCTTTCCCGCGCCGGCGTCCCCGTGCCCCTATCGGTCGACCACAAAGTAAGCTTTTGCATCCTTAATTGCTCGTACGAGCATGACACTAGTCGTCTCACCGCACCGGTCACCACCGCCTTGCTCGATCGCCTGCTGTTTCGTGTTCTTCTTACCTTATCCGTTTGCTTCAGCCTGACCGGCACGACGAGCTAGAGCGCATCCAGGAGGCGGGTGGCCGCGTCATCTACTGGGACGGCGCAAGAGTGCTTGGCGTCCTTGCCATGTCTCGAGCCATCGGTGAGCGCCGCGCGCTTTTTTCAAAAATCTGAGCTTTCTGTCCAACCAATCGCTACGAATGCCATTTGCCATTCAGACCGCCGTGCTCAGTTTGAAATTGTTTGGGCGCGCAGGTGATGGCTACCTGAAGCCGTTCGTGACGGCGGAGCCGGAGGTGACGGTGACGGAGCGGACGGACGACGACGAGTGCCTGATCCTGGCGAGCGACGGGCTGTGGGACGTGCTGACCAACGAGATGGCGTGCGACGTCGTCCGGGCCTGCTTCCGTAGCAACGGCCCGCCGTCGCCGCCTGGCGCGCGGCCGAACGGCGTGCTCCCGTCCGCTGCCGGGGCAGGGGCAGGGCGGGAAGGAGACGGCGCCGCGGCGGTGAAGGGCGTGGACAAGGCCGACTCTGACAGGGCGTGCTCCGACGCGGCCCTGCTGCTTGCGAAGCTCGCGCTCGCACGCCGGAGCACGGATAACGTCAGCGTTGTCGTCGTCGATCTCCGGCGGAGGTGCTGAAGTACTGATTCTAGGGGCTCGATTACAATTTACACCCACCCACCGATGTTTCGTCTCTTGTTTTCTTATTATGCTATTGATGGATGTGGATTAATAAATAGTCTAATTCTCTAATCTGCGCAAATCTTAATTGTAGATAGATACTATGAGTCTCAGTATGATTAGCGGATCGCGAGTTCCGGAGTTCGTCGCAATCAACACATTGGATTATGTATGTCTGGATGCTCTGGCAGATACAGAACAATTGGTTAATCGAGTTACGTGGGAGTACTTACTTCTGATAGAAATTAAATTAGAACCCCGTTAGTGTCATGTGATCTGTCGCGATTAAGTTACGCGAGAGGCGGGCATTACATGCATGATTGGTCACTAGATCGTTAACAAGGTCTTATGCTTCAATTATTCTGATCGATACAAGCGATCGTAAATGTTGCACGGAAACCGTGTTTTTCAAAGGCACCAAACCATGGACTTGGGATAAATAATCCACGATACGAGAGTGTTTCACACAACGGGTTGTCAATTATTCTGATCGATACAAGCTCCTGTTGCAACCAAACTCCTCTGTCAAAGGCACCACTCTCGCATGGACTTGGGCACAATACACACGGCCTTCGAGTGTTTCACACAACAGTGTCCCCCCCCACCCCCCAAAAAAACACACTCGAGCACTCACTATGTTTACAGTATATACAGTAATACCAGAAACAACAGTTCAGTAGTTCACCGACGAAGCGCGACCGCCATTCGTGTACGAGAGCTCACTCCTTCCCTATGCCGTGGGACATGTTGTAAATCCCGCGCCCCTGCACCAAACAACGAGACGTCGGTCGATCAGCACAGAACTTATTGGTTTCAGCCACTACCTAAACTGCCCAATAAGCGGTATTTTTTCTCTATAACAAACCAACACTAACACGTTTAGAAGAAACCGGCCGTGAACGCGCGCCGCCACGACAAAACAACGTCAGTCAGTTTATCAGCAGCAGAACCGAACAGCATCTGGCGGCTAGTGCTGCGCGCTGTACTTACAACGAGGTACATGCTGGAGACTGCGAGGGCGAGCGGGATGGCGACGGAGGTGATCACGTCGTAGCGGCCCTTGAGGTACGTCGGCTTGTGGACGCTCTGGAAGTACCTCTGCTTCTCCAGGATCTTCTCCCGCGGCCGGAACGGCGGTTCCGGCTCCGACGACGTCGTCGGCGCCAGCGGCGACATTCGCTCTCGAGTTGTACACAGGCTTACAGCAGGCTTCGCACCCGAGATCACTGACCAGAGTTATGATCTGTCGAAGCAAGTAGTACTAGTCAGGAATCAAGGTAAGCACCAAAGCGAAGGATGTGGATATGCAATGCAAAGCTGGACCGCTGCACGGGAGCATCTCTATCTTTAATAGGGGGCCGAGTCCTCGACCAGAAACCCCCAGAAACGGCTCAAGAAAAAGCAAAGATACGGTGCACAACGATTTGACGTCCAAAATGGTCCGGAATGTTCCGCGGTTCGCTGGAACCAGGGCCTCGTTTAGATGGCCGAATTGGGGCACGTTCGCTGATCAGCCGGCTGATCCCTTTTCACAAGGAAACGCTCATCAACACTATGTTTTCTCTTCTGCTCGTTAAGTTTTTCAATGAACGAACTGGACCTGACAAAGTTAGCATTTTCGTTTATACCTGGTAATAATTTTCCAATCCCATACCTAATTCTCAAAAGCGCCCATCTTACAACTTAACTGTGCAATTAGTTTTGATTTTCGTCTACATACCAAATTTTTACATATATTCACAAATTTGATGTGATGGAATTTTTTTTTCATAGTGTCAAAGTTAGGAGTAACTTAGGGGTAGGGACACAAGTACACAACACAGCTGACAGGACCCCTGCTTCACGAAACGCTCCGGCCTCCTGCCGAACTCTTCTGCTCGTGTTTCCGTTTGAACTGGACCTGACAAAGTTGGCACTGACCGGGCCCATACCATTCTCGAATTAGGCCCATCTTGGAAGGCCAGGTAATAATTGCTTTCGATCCTGGACCGCGCGTGCAACGCAAGAGCGCGTGCGCGTCGTCTCCGGCTGGTGTGCGCCAGCGCCGCCAGCAACCCGTCCCCGTCCTCGGACTTGCTGGCGCCCGAACGTTTGATGCGAGCGTTAGCGTCCGGATAGTGCCCACACAAAGGACATGTTCAACCTCTTATAATTCGTGACTTTTCAAATTTTGTTTTTTAGTCGAGCGTTGTTTTTTCTCTTAACAAATCGGTCCGGGAAGAGTGCCGACACAAAGAAAGCGAACGGGAGGCAAAGAGTGAACGAGTACCTAGCGCATCGGGTTCACGAAGGAGCGCATTAGCAATGGGCCTGCGCCGCCCTGATCGTCGCTCCACGCCGCCTCGGACGTCTGCCCGCTTCCTACGCGCACCCCATGTGCAATCTCCGATCTACTTTTGAAACATACAGATATAATAGTTGCAACATACAAAAAAGACAGATGAAATACTTAAAACAAAACGTTTGAAACACTTACGAAAACGTCTAAAAACATTTGAAACCCGTGCAATATATGCTAAAACACTTGTAAACATATGTATGAAATACCTCAAAACACTTGAAACATATGCATGCAACATGTATGTATATGCAACATCCAGATTTACTTTTGCAACATCCAGACAAAATACTTGCAACATTCGTCTGAACAGATGAAACATACAATTGAAACATACGTGTATAGACATGTATAACATCTCAATCTACTTTTGCCACATCGATATACAACACTTGCAACATACACATGTGAAACACTTAATACATACTAGTGCAACATGCGCTTTTAGCGTAGCATTTACTTGTTGCTTCGGACGAATGGAGGCTCGTCGATGCGGAGCTCGACACTGTGGAGTGGCATTGAGGTCGTGGATGTGAAGCCCGTTGGTGGCACGAATCTTGGCAGGGACGGGGGCAGACACATGGAGCGCGGCCGTGACGGCAAACACGGGTCCGAGATAAGTTAGCGAGCGCCTAGCGCGCCACGCTGTGTGCGGCGCGGGCGAGTGGCTGTGGCGCGAGTGGGAACGGCATGGGTGAGGGCGGAGTCCGTTCCACGAGCAGAGTGAGCGGGCAATGCGGCTGCGGACGAAGACGGCGTGGACGAGTGCGGGTCCGTCCGACGGCCGGCCGGCCTGTAAGGAGCGTTTGCGTTGCAATACTCAGGTAGCGTTGGTTTTGGGCTGAGGAGCACACCCTTCAAAGTAGTCCCACTTCACTGTGTTTCATAGAAGAGTCCGACACCTCGACATCTTCTTGCGCCAGTCTACGTCGTGCTGGTGCTTGTGCTCGGATGCGTGGCACTCAGGGGATTGCTGGTTTGATGTGTGGTCGTGCAAATCAGCAAATGCGTGGCCTTAGCAGCCAACGACACATGGCGTGGTGCGCGCATGGATGCAGCAACATGCTGAGGCCATGACTAGGCCCTGTTTGCTTCCCCTGACTCGGTATCACGCGTTCGTGTTTGAGCCAACGTGGCTCGGAGGTCGCGTTTTGCCAACCACAGGGTGTAGTTATTTTTCTCGCGTTCCACGCCGTGGGCGATTTCCGGTCACGCATTGATCACGCGTGGCGTTCAACGGGATTATCTCGCTCAATCGCGATGCGAACGCGGGAGAACGCGAAAACAAACACGCTCTAGGCCCCGCGAGTTGCAGCGCGACCTGTGTCATAAAAATGCCAACGTTGCAAAGTAATTAATGGCAAAGAAACAATGCATTAGGAGTGCTCTAATAAGCCAACGTTGTACCACGCTAATTAGGGGTCATTTGGCATTCGCTCATCAGTGCTTCGGCCCGGCTCAAAATTCACTATAGCGAGCCCTGTTGTATGGAGCCACTGTTCTATCTCTTCCTCAAATCAACGTGGAGCTCAGAGAAGCCGCCGGAACCACAAAAGTCCTTCCAAACAGGTTCTTAGTCCATCCGCACGCAGGTGGCAGGCCCTGAAAGGTCGCGCGCTCTGCCATGATCACGAGCTACAGCTATCACGCGATAGCTTGTGTGCGTGCTTAAAAAAAAAAAAAAAAAGCTTCTTCCTTAACACAGAAACTGAACGCTAAGCAATTTTCAGTTTTTCTTCCTTGCACCAAGCTACACACATGTATTGAGCAGCACTGCATCCGTTTTACTTCACATCGATGTTCGCCTAAGCAATCGTCTACTCCCTCCGTCCCAGAAAAAAGTTATTATGGGATACGTGCATGTCAAACTTTCTCAATTTTAACTAGATTTATAGAAAATACATGCAACGTTTATATCTCCACATAAATTATTATGAAAATATTCAATAATCTATCTAATGATACTAATTATGTGTTATAAACATTAATATTATTTTTATATATAATTGGTCAAAGTTAAAAAATATGTTTTCTTGGAAAGCGAGAACGACTTCTATTTTGGGATACAGAGAGAGTAGTTTGTTTGTGTACCTTTTAAATGCTATACAGTGATCTGTTGTCTCTTTTTAATTGGTTATTTATCCCGTTTAAACAACCGTTTTGTCGGTTTAAGTGTATGCTTACACTGAATAATAGCTAAACGATAAGCGACCAACTATTTATCGTTTATCATTTAGGATAATACTATATCACCATGCTTACGGTCTGAATAGGATTAGCATACACTAGAGGATCGGAGAGATACACATGATGCATGCTTTATTGAACCCTCCACTCTCAAGAACCACACACACGCACGTGATGGAGCTGAAGCTGTTTATTTATGGCCAAAACCAAAGCAAGTACATGTGTACTAAGGTTCTGTTTAGATTTCAAAAATTTTCACCTTAAAGTGTCACATCAAATCTTGCGGCATATACACGGAGTACTAAATGTAGACGAAAAAAAAACTAATTACATAGTTGGGTGAGAAATTACGAGACGAAACTTTCGAACCTAATTAGTCTATAATTAGATACTAATTACTAAATATAAACGAAAGTGCTACAGTAGCCGAACAGTAGCCAAACCCAAAAATTTTTGGGAACGCCCTAACTTTGGTCGGCACGCAGTCGATACGGCCCAGCCGAGCGCGACGCTAGCTGACCGGGAACGGGGAAGAAGAGTAACACGCTGGATCAGTAGAGGGCATCGCTGACCAGTTTCTTCTGCACCGTTGCTGGTGGTGCAGCACACCAATTCTTCTCGACATAGTTAACGCATTGGCATTCAGCCTTCTGCTTAGAGCACCAGCAACCAGAGCAGATGCTGGGGCACGAAGCAAAGGTGTCGTAGCACACGCAGCCACCGGTTATGGGACAGTCGCAGTCTTTGCAGACTTCGTCCGTCGATTCCGCCGCCGCTCCTGGCCAGCACGTAGGACAAGGAAAGCGTTTCAGGAGACGAATCGATCGGCAGATGGATCACATTTTTATGTTTTTGGATTGGAGATGTGGATCAATGCTTAGAGATACCTCCTTGGATGAGACTGGCAAAGTCAATCCAGCTACGTGCCGAGGACTGCCCGGCGAAGAAGCCCAAGGCCACCACCAGGACCAGGAGCACGGCAAGTGCGCTGCCCTTGTTGCCTCCCATAGCTGCTCGATCTCTCCGTGTAAGCAGTCTTGCTTCAGTGCCGTGTGTGCTTCCGGTCGGTCACCTTTGCCCCGCCACAGCCAGTGCTAGGACCTTCCCTATTTATAGGACACATTCAACCGTGGGGAAAAATTGATTCATTTACCAAGTACAGTTGCTGCACGCTGCTCATTGCTCGTGTTGTGCAGTTGTGAATTGTGATCCCTCGACAACGTCCACACATTTGGATAGGGACCCTAATTGTCCTTATCCCTATCCCACCCACCACGATCTGTTATCCTGTTCCCCAATCACTACCCTGTCTCTCATTCAATCACTTATTGTCCTTTTCTTTTCCTCTTGTGTGACAGAGAGGCTCTAACAATACAGATCACCTAACTAAAAAAATCTCTGTATATTATATTTTTTCTAGCATGGTCTATATGGATATGGTATAGGGGCTGGGTGTCTTACATCATGGTCTGCAAGTATTTGTCTTAGATTACATACTGCGTTTCATATTGGCATAGCTGACTTTAGGAGACCATACAGATTCAAATAATCTACGTCTCTTATAATCCTAAACCCCACAAGCAATGTATCTCAACATGCAGCCTATGGCCCTGTTCGCTTGAACTTATCAGCCGTACCGTTTCAACAAAATAACAATATTTCTCTCTCACAACAAATCAGTATCAGCATCAACCGTTTTTCCAGTAAGCCGAACAGTATATAGAGCCTTTTACCTGTGCCATTATAAAAGATTGAAATTACTTGTGTACCATTGAAATTTTCAAAAGTTCTCCTGTACCCTTGCACAAAATTTCTTTTCCCTACATGCCACTTCCGTCTATTTTGCCGGTAACAACAGCTAACGGCCAACCGAAAAGACGATTTTGCCCTTAGTGGTAGAATGCATCAAAATTTTGATTTTTCCCCTGGTGCCACTGTAACCCGTCTGTGTTGCAAAAAAAACTTCACTTTTTCCTCTATACCACTATAAAAAATTCACTGTAATAACTTGTATATGTGCACATAAAAATTCTAATAAATACAGTAAATTTGCGATACATCTAAAAAATTTGACAATTACGACAGCCAAAATAAGTATTTAAATTCCTCGAGCAGTGATATAGGTGTTCGATCGAACCAATAGGTGGACAGCCACTGGAACAGGATCATACATAGCATGAAACCTATGTTGCATGCATATGTGTCCAAGGGAACAGAAGCCAAAAATAGAAAGTCACAACACGTCCTAAAGGAAACAGGCTAACTGACCAGTAATTAATGCCAAGTAGCGCTAGAATGAGTGAAATCCCGATAAAAGGCTATAGCTACCCTACATAATCCGGTTCACTGATTTGACCAACCAACCAGATATTGAGTATTCGAAGTTCCCTGTACTCGACCCAGCCATGCAGCGTGCCCCCGTACTGCAGCACCCGAAGTTCCTGATGGCGCACTCGTACTTGCCCTTGAGCTCGTCGGGGCGCCACCTGGATGCTGTTCTTCTCCACCAAGAACACAAATGTATAATTTCCAATTATTAGCAGATGCCTAATCATATTGTAGATAAATAATACATTGAACCCAAACTCATCACTCTAGTTCTCCTAGACTAACACTTTGACGGCCAAATCGACAAAAACAAACGTATGTTTGCTGATGTGAGTGAGATAGGAACAAACATCAGACATGGTATTAAATATATCTCAAACATCAAACTACACCTGAATGTCAGTCTACATGATTAATTGTCATATTTTGATAAGGCGACCTAAGCTAGGAGAGAATGTGTTAACGAAATGAGTCGTAAGCATTCTCACTGTTATCTTATATTCAATTCCCTGGCACCCTAAATTGGACCAAGACAGAAGACAGATTCACTATATCTGAAACGGAAGTTCAACTTCAAACACCTGGCAGAGCACATCATATATCAAATTTCTGGGGAAAAGAACAAGGATTTGTGACCTTCGCCGGATTAGAAGCAAGCAGAAGCGCAAGGTCCTCCAGGGATCAGCGTCACGGCCTCCTCCGGCCCCGGCGTCACAGGAGGCACCACTCCTATCCGGCGTCTCGATTTGGCCGCGGCGGCAGGGTATGGGGCGACAGTGCGGCGGCGACCTCGCCCAAGGGCGAAGTCGCCAGCACAGAACCCTAGCGGCGATCCGATCTCGCGACGCCTGCGTTAATCGGCAAGTCGCCTGCGCCTGATTTCCAAGCCTTTTGTCGTCTGCACAGTTTGCAGTTAATAATCCCAGAACCATTTTACCCCAACTTTACCACACGTGTTAAGATGAAACTGGTCATAGATGAACTGCATATGTAGCTGATTTACTGCATAGGTGTTAGCTGATAAATTTGTTATATTGCAAAGGGGGAAACATCTATCTCTGCTTTTAGTCAAGAGTAGTCAAATGGGTGATTAACAAACTCATGCATTGTAGCTGGCTATGATTACAAATCCTGGCCACAGCCTACCAGTGATGACTGGTTAACTGAATAGAAATACATGTGCCCTGAAAATCTGTGGCCTAACTATTGAATATTGGCAAAAATGATTTGCTCCATCCACCAACGCTTTGCTCTGATAAAACTGCGAAGGTAGAACACATGACAAAAGAGACAACTGTGGAATTCTAAAAAAGGAGACAAGTGTGTGTTACTAGTTAATTCAGCAATAGTAGTAGTTGGCAAGTGGAACATTGTGTCAGACATGCAATTTCTCAATAGCTGTTTCACGGAGCATTCGTGGTCGGACCAGATCGTCGGCCGCGAAAGTCGGTCGAGGATGTAAGGGGAATAATTAAGCCTAACATTACCGTGGCCTCCCCGCGCGAAGTAGAAGGCAAGCAGCGCCCGACGGCCCACCTCCTCGAGTGCCGCGTCGGCTGTTTCCTCCGCCGCCAGGCCGACGCCCCGGCCGGCGAGCGCCCCCGCGCGAGCTCCAATCCGGCGCGGGCCGTCCTGCTTCCTCCGCCGCCAAGCCGACGCCTCGGCCGGCGAGCGCCCCCGCGCGAAATCCGGCCCGGGCCGCCCTGCTTCCTCCGCCGCCAGGCCGACGCCCCGGCCGGCGAGCGCCCCCGCGCGGCCGCCAATCCGGCGCGGGCCGTCCCACCCCTGCCCTCTGCTGCGCCCGACGGCCTGCCGGCGAGCGCCCCCTGCGTGCTTGCTCCGCCTGGTTGCTCCCTAGGGTTTGCGCGTGTGCGTGCGCACGAACTGGGGAAGCAGAGAACGAATGGAACGAGTGGCTGGCTGTTGACTGGAAAGAGTGATGGGCAAAAGAGTAATTTCAAGTCCAGTTGGGAGCCAACTCCGTTAGAATCAACTGCGAAATTGACGGAAGTGGCATACAGGTAAAAGAAACTTCAGATCAGGGTACTGAGCAACTTTTTCAAATTTCAATGGCACGTAAGGTATTTCGATCTTTTTTAATGGCACGTAGGTAAAAGCCTCCGGTATATATCCACCTCAGCAATTCACTACATATAATTAAAACCCACTAGCACATGTAATCGTGATGTCCACGTCAACAAAATATATAAGCATTTTGTTGTCAACACCAACATTCACGCCATCCACTAACATTAATTTATAATAGTTTATTCTATCATATAAGTAATTATATATAGTCTAATTTAATTCTAAATCAACCATAATTTACGCAGTAACGCGCGGGGTATACTTCTAATTCGTAAGAAAAAAATGTAGAGCAAGATTTTAGAGAAAAAAATATAAATCCAGTTTCGTATTTTAATGAGTTAAATTGAAATTTCTATGAATTTTCAAATATTCAATCAGATTTTAGTGTTTTTAATGCATATTTTTCTAATATTTGTCTGTTTCTTTTGATAAAGTCCAATTGACTCCCCTGAACTATGATAAAAATTTGGTTTACCTTCCTCGTGGTTGATATGACATCATATTAGCCAAAATTAAGCACTAAAATAAATTTAATGGTTTTAAAAGTTAGAGAAGTCTAAAAATCTAGCTTTCTGTTTTTTTTACAATGCAAATCATGAGCTTTATTAATTTAAGACAATTACATCGTTTAGTACAAACTCAAGATTAAAGCTAGGGTACTCATCGTCCCAAATACAATTTGTCTTGGTTTGCATAGCTCGCTTTGCCAACTCATACGTTACACGATTTGCATCTCTGCTACAGTGCTCAATAGAAATATGTTAAAAATCACTTTAAAAATGCTACATTCGTCGTAGATGGCTGCCCCAAATTTGTCGAAAATCTCCCTTCTTTCGTTCTCTCTACAAACTTCCATACAATCTGCCAGAATGACAGAAGAGGTACACCTTTTGCAATAACTGGGAGAGAGAGGTGCAATGAACTTTTTCCATATGCCTATCCTGCGACCTATTTCCTCTCCTACAGCCGAGAGGCCGAGCCCATTACTGCTATGGGTTGGTGTCTCCTGGCTGAGCTGCCGCTAGCCATCGAGCCTACCGAGGCCTTGTTTAGATGATATCAAACTTCTAAGTTTTTTCATTCTCTCTTCGTCACATCAATTTTTGGACGCATGCATGGAGCATTAAACGTAGATAAAAAAAATAATTAATTGCATAGTTTAGTTAGAAATCACGAGATGAATCTTTTGAGCTTAGTTGGTCCACAATTGGACAATATTTACCAAATAAGACGAAAGTGCTACTATTCATCGGGTTGAAATTTTTTTCAATCTAAACAAGGCCCGAGAAGAAATTTATGAAATAATATATTTTAATAAATAATTATAGAACTAAGAGCTAAAAAGATACATTTTTATGTATTTTTTCTTTTCTTTAGATAAAATCCAAAGTTTTTAATATAGAATATGATCAAAATTAAGTTTTATATTAAAATTAAATTTAAAATCATTCAAAACAAGATCAACTGATTCTAAATTGAATTTCAAATTGAAACTGATTTTTGAGCATGTCGCTTATTCAGAAACGCTTGGATGCTGCTTGTTGTAGATTATTAGATGCTAAATTCTGATTGGTAGCATTATTGATTTTACA